GGATTAAGCCGATTTACTAGCAACGTTTTCCTGGAAGTATTCCTTCAGGAGGAAAAGTCAAACCTCCAGGGAGTAAATACACACATAGTAAATACACACATAGTCTTGACTGCTTCCAGGCTGTGAGGTGAAAATAAAAAGTAATTAGTCATTTCCACCTACTGTGGACATGTGCTCCAACCTGGCCTTCACCTGTGTGTTTGGTGTAGTTGCTGACAGGAACAAAGGTTTGGAAGTGGCCTTTAAAAGAGGAAGGCCTCAATCCCCAAGTGCCCCAGGACTCTTTACTGAGCCTCATCTGCCAGCTTATTCTGTGTGGGTCTCAACTTGGAATGTGCTTCAGAAACATCTGGGGAGCCTGGCAAACTCCCATGCCCAGCCTGCACCAGGGCAATCCTATTCGAGTCTGGGAGCAGACTCCAACATCAGGGGCTCCTACGGCTCTCCTGGGGATTTCACTGCTTGCCAAGTTGAGAAGCACTTTGTTAAAGCATGCAGCCATCCTGGCCTTCTTCTAGGCCCTTGAACTTGCCAAGGGCTTCCTGGCCCCTGGAGAACTTGCTATTCCCTGTACTGGAACCACTTTATTCCCTTACATTAAATTATACTTCTTCAGGTGAGCCTTCCTTGACCAGCACATCCAAAATAGTTCCCCCATCCACCAGCAGCTAGACTGAAGCATTGTACCCTATTTTTTCCTTCTTAGCACCACATTGAAATTGTCTGTTAATTTGTTCACTTGCTTATTGTCTCCCCTTCCCTAACTAGAATATAACCCCCTTGAGGCCAGGACCTTGCTTTCTTGTTTATCACTGTATTCCTGATGCCCAGCTTGGTGCCTGGCATAATACATACGTATAAAATATTTGTTAAATGAGAATGAATTCTTTTTTTTTAATATATGAAATTTATTGTCAAATTGGTTTCCATACAACACCCAGTGCTCATCCCAAAAGGTGCCCTCCTCAATACCCATCACCCACCCTCCCCTCCCTCCCACCCCCCATCAACCCTCAGTTTGTTCTCAGTTTTTAAGAGTCTCTTATGCTTTGGCTCTCTCCCACTCTAACCTCTTTTTTTTTCCTTCCCCTCCCCCATGGGTTTCTGTTAAGTTTCTCAGGATCCACATAAGAGTGAAACCATATGGTATCTGTCTTTCTCTGTATGGCTTATTTCACTTAGCATCACACTCTCCAGTTCCATCCACGTTGCTACAAAGGGCCATATTTCATTCTTTCTCATTGCCACGTAGTACTCCATTGTGTATATAAACCACAATTTCTTTATGCATTCATCAGTTGATGGACATTTAGGCTCTTTCCATAATTTGGCTATTGTTGAGAGTGCTGCTATAAACATTGGGGTACAAGTGCCCCTATGCATCAGTACTCCTGTATCCCTTGGGTAAATTCCTAGCAGTGCTATTGCTGGGTCATAGGGTAGGTCTATTTTTAATTTTCTGAGGAACCTCCACACTGTTTTCCAGAGTGGCTGCACCAATTTGCATAAATGAGAATGAATTCTAATATCAATAGGCATCAATGGACTACTGGGCATAACTTTAAGTTCTCTTTCTAATATCTAAAGAAGGGTTAATTTCTTTTCTGAAAAGATGTTCCTGTCTTGTTATAAGCATTTAATCAGAATGTAGGGCAACGTATCCTTTAATCTAGCTTTTGCCCTGTTTTCTGATCTTGCCCTCAATATCTCCTAACAACAACAACAACAACAACAACAACAACAACAACAACACAGACACAAACATGTATACAATAATAATCAGCTTACGGGGACTTCACATACTTTATCTGATGTCATCCCTTTCTGTGGGATGGACATGATTAAGCACAAATGATGAAACAGGCATAGAGCAGTAAAACACCATATCTAAGTCCACACACGTATAAGAGACAGAACTGGGATATAAATGTTGGGTGTCGTATATTGGGACACCATGAGAAGAATGTGTGGACATTAAACCTCTCCAGGGTTAGGGGGCACTTGCCACCCCTCCATGTAATGTTGATGGCTGTGCCCTCTCCCCCTGAACTTCTGTGCTTTTTTTGGTTTAAAAACTCATAGGGAATGAATAGGATAGTGAGTACAATTGGAGAAAGGTTGGAGAGGTAAGGAGGAGGAAGTCTTTCTCACCTCTTGCCTTTCATATGGCACCCTCTTTTTGGGTGCAGTGCTGAGTCTTTGGCTCAAATGTAGTTGAGTACCTTTACTACAATGGGTTTGTGCACGCCTTGTGGATGTGACTTTCCTAACTTACCATGAACACTGGGTAGCATGTTTTGTAGGTGAAGAACTGGAGTGTCTTGGCTCTATTTCACTTGATTGGCTTGTAAAGGAAACCCGTCCTCCTCAGTGTATTCCTGGGAACGCCTTAATCATGGGAGACCACAAGTTTTAGGAAAAGATCCTAAAGTCTGGAGTGGTCATTAATCAGTGGGTCAGATTCAAAGATGCTGACTAATAGCGATGAAAATATGTCCCCTTGCCAGGACTCCCTTGTGATAGATGCACTTGCACCCTCGTGATGATGGGTGCTTAATTTACCAGTATGCTTCACAACTTAGATGTATGCGCTACAGGTATTCCTTTGCAGGTAGGCATTATTGCATTATTCTGACATTAAAACGTAAACAAAACAAGGTAATGTGATCAGCTACTTTGACCTCAGTACCAGACTGAAGGGTTTCCTTCACCCCAATGACTCTTTATTTTTTATTTTTTTTTTTAATTTTTTTTCAACGTTTATTTATTTTTGGAACAGAGAGAGACAGAGCATGAACGGGGGAGGGGCAGAGAGAGAGGGAGACACAGAATCAGAAACAGGCTCCAGTCTCTGAGCCATCAGCCCAGAGCCTGATGCGGGGCTCAAACTCACGGACCGCAAGATCGTGACCTGGCTGAAGTCGGACGCTTAACCGACTGCGCCACCCAGGCGCCCCATCCCAATGACTCTTTAAATAAAAACGGTCTCCATCTCTGATACTGTGTTACTTCTAGGCAGTGCTGGTAGAGGCATTATCATTCTTCCTGAGGCTGACCTATCCCACTCGAATGTCCTTATCTTAAATCGCACAGCTTTAAATGAAATAATTGGTAAACAGGTTGGCGACTGAGGTGTTATTGAGCCCCTCAGTTCCCAGGGCTATTAATGGGGAGTTAAATGTTGTAATTGGTTAATGCTTAATTGTACTGTGCCTTTGGACACAGAACTGCTTGATTTATTTGTCAACCAAGTGGGAATTTCCTGGGTTTTGTACCAGTATTTCCATCCACACTGTTGGTGTGCTCAAATCCTGTTTCACCTCATGCTGCTTTTTTTCTTGAGCTGCCTTCTGGATTTCTCTGACTTGGGTGACTTTGGTCGGCAGGTCAGAAAGGCCGTAGCCTCATGTTGGCTGGACCAGTCAGAGCTTCCCTTGGGCCCCCCTCCTGCCCCTTTCTATACAGCCTTACGGTTACAGTTTCCCCTTTGTAAGTATTTTTAGCTTGAGGACAGTCTGTTGTGTTGATTTTGCTCTGATAAGGGAAGTGAGGGCCCACAGCACAAGGCCGGTGCCTGGAGTCACATCCTGGGGGGACCCTGACCTTTAGAGGCATCTGTGGCACAGGAGCGACAAACATTTATTACCATTATTTACTCTTTCCCCATCAAAATGATTCCTCTTCTTCCTTCGTGGTCAGAGACAAAAAAGAGATTCTTCTGGATGTTTTGTGGACTTCAGGCTGGGAAAAGGCACTCCTTTAAACCTGATTCAGTGTATTCCAGTGTCTGATTTTAGCACTGGCATTTTTCACATTCTTGATTGCCTGCACGACAGTGGCCTGACTGCTCCCGGAGGTGACCATCAGTCTCCACTGCGGTTTTCCTTTTAGGAAGTAATGTTTCCTTTGAGGATGTTGAGGAAATTCTGTTCCCCACAACATAGATATGGGTGGATCCGGGCTTGGGTTCACACACCACAGGGACAATGACCCTCTGCTGTTTTGTGAAATCCTCTTTGAGCTGGAAATAGAATTTTCCTTAATTTAAATGAGTTAAATGTTAAATTGGGGAGGGTTGGTGGGTTCACTGACAAAGGAAAGGGTATGAACCACTCTCTTCCATGTTGTGGCTTCCTCTGTAAGGGCCGTGTGTGATTGCAGGGTGGGGAGACTTTAGAAATCTATTTTTAAATAGATTTTTAAAGAGAGTATTAGTGGTGCTTTGGAAAAGCTCATCTAACCCCCTATGTAACAGGGGTCCAAGAGTGACTCAGATGCCCTGTTACTCTTCTTGTCTCCTCTTTGGCAGCACTTTCATTGATTGCCTTGTTTTTCCAGGCAGGGGTGGGGGAGGCAGTGGCAGAGGAAGGGAGCCGGAGAAGAGTGTGGGGATGGCCAAGTGATTTGCCTAATTAACCAGTAAGTGTGGCTGATTTGGGGGACTCTTATTCTTTCATTCCTTCAAACCTTTTAGAACATCTGGCATGTGCAGGGTAGAGTGTTAGTCTTCCTGGAGGCTGGAAGAGCGGGTGGCTGCTTGTTGGGAGGATGGAGCAGCCAGATCACCACACGCTGCACGCGAGGCCTCTGAGAGCTAGGTGTCAGGTGAGCGAAGAAGAGCCAGTGTCTCCCCGGGAATGGGCAGTTGCTCAGAGAACACTGATAGGTGTAGCTTACCTGGAGGAAAACTAAAATTAGCCATACTGTGTAGCTCAAGGTTTGGATATTGTGCAGGACTTTGTTTAGAATATGTTTTTAAGTGAATGAATCTGGTAACTTTGTATCAACCAGTGAGACTTGCAAGCCAGAAGATGATTCCTTGTATTTGACTAAACTTTGTTTTCCCATGTGAGATACTACGTGGCCTGGCCGATAGAAATCAGTCCTCCAGTTACTTGAGTCTCTTAGGAGAAGTAAGCCCCTTCTTGTGATGTAACAACCTTGAGCAAGTTCCCTTCTGAGTTTCCCTGACTAGGATGATTTTGGTCAGTGGATTAGAAGGGCAGCAGCCTCGTGTTGGCTGGACCCCTCAAGCTGGTCAGAGCGGTTCTGCAGCCTTCTCCTACCCCTTTCTACATATCCTTAGGGGTGTAAGTATCCCTTTGGGAACTATTCTTAGCCTGAAGACTGTTCATGGTGTTGATTTTGATCAGATAAGATAAGGAGGGAAGTTAGAGCACACCAGGAAGGGGGCTGAGGAGGGTGTGTGTTGGAGGGGAGGGATCCCAGTCCTTGGCTCTGGTCTAAGAGTGGGGCTGTTGCAGGGCTGGGCTATATTTACTCTCTTTAGTGGAGACCTGTGAAAAACCTAGAGAAAACCCAGTGCTTTTCCTCCTAGACCAGACCCATGACAGCTTGGTGCTTGTCAGGTAGGAGCCATTAATATGGCACGTGAGGCTTTGATTTGGGGCTTGAGGATTTGGTATGATGGGGACACATGGGGCTTGGGGAGGAGTGAGAGAGGATGTGCATCCAGGAAGGCTAGACAGTATATAACAAGGTTCAGGATGGGAAAACCTAGGTGAATACAGGGCACAACCAGTGGCTCAATTGGGAGGGTTTGGAGTGTGAAGGGGAGAGGTGGGAAAGTGGGAAAGTTGCCAAGAGCACATACGGACTAAGGCGTTTGGACTTTATTCAGGAAACAGAGGTCACTGAAGACTTCGGTGAAGGGTGTGATGTGATCAAATCTCCATTTTTGGGAGATTCATCTTGTAATGGTGGATGGTGGACAGGAAGGCTTTCTATCAGAGACTATGGTAATGGTCTAAACAGTATTTATGGTAACACGTAAAACAGCTGTGAAGCCAGTCAGATGTTTTGCCAGAGCTATAAGAATCTCAGGTCCTACAGAAAATAATTTCTCAAATAGAAGAGCGATTTAGGGATGACATATCATAAGAATTTTCATTAATGAATTGACAAAGCTTTAAGATTAGTGTGTCTGTGGAGATTGGTTTGTGTGTGTATATTAGTTTGTTATGTTTGATATTGTCTTGAAGTTAAACACATGTACTCTGGAACCAGACTGCCTGGATTTAACAATGATTTTTTTTAATGTTCTTTTTTAAATTTATTTTTTAGAGACAAAGAGAGACAGGGTGTGAGTGGGGCAGGGGCCGAGAGAGGGAGACACAGAATCCGAAGCAGGTTCCAGGCTCTAGGCTCTGAGCTGTCAGCATAGAACCAGATGTGGGGCTCAAACTCACGAACCATGAGATCATGACTTGAGCTGAAGTCAGATGCTTAACTGACTGAGCCACCCGGGTGCCTCCAGACTGCCTGGATTTAAAGCCCAGCCTCAGCATTTATAGCCGTGAGACCTTAGGTAAATTACCTAACCTTTCTGTGCCTCAGTGCTTGCCACCTAGGATGCACTTCATAAGGGTTAATGTCATTGTCATCATCATCATCATCATCCGAATCATTCATTTTTGAGAGAGCAAGAGCACATGTGCACTGGGGAGGGGCAGAGAGAGAGGGAGACAGAGGAACTGAAGCCCGCTCAGCAGTGTTGACAGCAGAGAGCCCAATAGCACCATTCATTTCTAACACAGAGATTCATTTCTAACATCATTCATTACTTCAGAGATAGGATCTTTTCAGTGTCCTAAGTTTACCTGTTTAAGAAGCATTTGGCTGAGAGTACAGACCCCTCTGCCACCACTGCATGATTTTAAACTCTAAAGGGCTTATTTCCTTAATAAGAAGACTGGAGGTAGAGTTGCTCTCACTGCCTTGGTGACTTAAGGATGTCAGGGTAACTGAGATTCTCTTGGTCTCATTTCTTCATTGGCTCAAGAAGGCTGCTGCAGCTCCAGCCATGAAGTCTGTCAGACTGAAGGAAAAAAGAATGAAGGGTAGAAGACCAAAAGGGTAACTGCCAGTTGAATAAGCTCTCTTTACAATTCTTTTCTAGAAACCCAGCCTAAGGACTTCCATTGATACCTTACTGGCCATCTCTGTCTTCCAGGGATGTGGAAAAGGTAGTTTTCTCTGGGCATTTTGCCCCCCTCAAGAATACAGGTGTTTTGTTTCAAAGGAAAAAAAGAGAAGGATGGGTACTGTATGGGCACTAGCAGTCTTTGCCACAGTGGGAGCCACTGCAGGAAAGCTACCTCAAGGCCTTCAATGAATTTTGCCTATTTCTGAATTAGCAATTGGATTGCCTTCTCCCAGATTGACAGCTCCTGGTAGTATAATCATTGACATTTTTAGCGTGTATTCAGCTTTTGCCATTAGCAAATTTGTTCAAGAAAGAAAAGACGATTACAGAAAGATATGGGAACATAAAATGTTTTAAACTCAATTGTCGGTATAGGTGTCGGGGTTGGGGGGGGTGTCTTAGTTTATACCTAAAGATACATTCTGTGTATCACATAATAGATACTCCCTGAGGTGAGGTGGTGAGGTGCCCAAGCAGTTCCTTTTTTTTAAAGATTAATACTTCATTCCAATGTATATACCACATTTTGTTTATCTACTCATTGTTGATAGACAGTTGGGTTGCTTCCAACTTTTGGCTATTACAAATAATGCTACTATGGGGTGGCTGGGTGGCTCAGTCGGTTAAGTGTCTGACTCTTAACTTGGGCTCAGGTCATGATCTCATGGTTCCCACGTGGGTTCGAGCCCTCCATTGGGCTCTGCACTGACAGTGCCGAGCCTGCTTGGGATTCTGTCTCCCTCTCTCTCTGCCCCTCCCCCGCTTGCTCTCCCTATCTCTCTCTCAAAATAAATAAAAGTAAACTTAAAAAAACCCTAACTAATGCTACTGTGAATGTGAGCATACAAATATTTCTTTGAGACTGTGCTTTCAATTCTTTTGGGTATATATCTAAAAGTGGAATTACTGGATCATTTAAAAACTATTATTATTATTATTATTATTATTATTATTATTATTTTTAAATAGACTCCACACCCAACGTGGGGCTTGAACCCACAACCCTGAGATTGAGAGTCACATGCTCTACTGACTGAGCCAGCCAGGCACTCTGCGTATGATAATTTTTAAACAGTTTTTTGAGGAACAGCCATGCCATTTTCCACAGCAGCTGCATCATTTTACATTCCCAGAAGCAATGCACAAAAATTCCAGTTTCTCCATATCCTCGCCAACATTTATTGTTTCCTGGTTTTCATTTGTTTGTTTTTGTTTGTTTTCTGTTTTTTTTTGGATAGTAGCCATCCTAATAGGTGTGAGGTACTTAAGTTTTAAATCAGTACCAAGAGTGCCTCCAGACTGACCTCTTCCAGAATCATGCTCCTTTGCCCATCCTTGTTCCTCTTTGGGCAAGTTACTTAGCCTGTGAGCCTGTTTCATTTTCTGTACAATGTAAATGTCTCTATGGAAGGGTTGTATGGATGTTATTGAGATTATGCCCTATGCTGTGTGCCCATTCCAGTATTTTTATTGCCCTGGAAAAGCTAAAAGCATTACCAAAGGTACATGTTTATTAATATTCCCATTGTACCTAGCTGTAGTTTTTTTTCCTACATCCTAACCAAAAACGCAATGTTTCCAAAGTAGAGTATTGGTCTTCGAACCAGGAGGCGTGGAATTGAATTCCAGCTTTCCCACTTTTTAGTTGAGGGAACTAGGACAAATATCTGGGTCTTATTTTCTTTATCTGTGAGAAATGGCACGACAGTGGGCACCTCATAGGACTGTTCTTTTACAACTACCTCTTCCTGCCTCCCCTCAACAGCTTACAGGTTTTTCCCCCCAACTTTATTGAAATTTTATCGACATGTAACACATGTGAGTTTAAGGCGTACAATGTGGTAATTTGACACACATATCTACTGCAAAATGATTACCATGATAAGGTTGGCTAACACCTCCATCCCCTGAGATACTTTTTACATGTGTGGTCATAACATTTAAGATCTACTTTCATAACAACTTTCAAGTATATAATACAGCATTGTTTTTAATGTTTATTTAGTTTTGAGAGAGGGAGAGAGAGAGAGAGAGAGAGAGAGAGAGAGAGAGAGAGAGGGAGAGAGAGAATGTGCATGGTAGAGGGGCTGAGAGTGAGGGAGACAGAGGATCTGAGGCGGGCACTGCGCTGACAACAGAGAGCCCAATGGGGCTTGAACTCACGAACTGTGAGATCATGACCTGAGCCAAAGGTGGATGCTTAACCAACTGAGCCACCCAGGTGCCCCCATAATACAGTATGCTGCACATTAGATCCCCGGAATTTATTCACTGTGTGGCTGGGAATTTGTCCTCTTTGAGCAATGTCTCCCTGTTGCACGTACCCTCTAGCCTAGGAAACACCATTCTACTCTCTGTCCCTGTGAGTTCACCTCTTTTAGATTCCACATGTGAGAATGTAAGGTATTTGTCTTTCTCTGTCTGGCTTATCTCATTTTAGCAGAGGGCCCTCAAGGTCCATCCGTGTTGTCACAAATGGCAGGATTTCCTTCTTTTTTAATGGCTGAATGATATATTCCATTGTATTTATGTACCATGCCTTCTCTATTGTTCATCTGTCGATGGTCACTTTCTGTGCCTTGGCTACTGTAAGTAATGCTTCAGTGAACCTGGAGGGGCAGGTATCTCTTTGAGATAGTGTTCTCATTTCCTTGGGATATAGTCAGTCACAAGTGGGATTCTAAGAGCCTAAACTTTGCTACCACCTTATAACTTCCCAGTCACTATTCACCTGTTGAAGTTCAAGCTTTCCTGCAAGCTGCTCTGACCCTTCTCACTGTGAATCTGATTGTCAGGTCAGAGATGTGCTGGCCTCCATCTTCCTCGAATTTTTTTTTTTTTTTTTTTGCCAGATCTGACATCCATACTTGACTACTTTATTCTTGACCTTCCTTTCTGGTTCCTGGGACACCACTTCCCTTTGATTTTCCTTTCCCTTTAGATAGTTCTTTCTCAGGGCACCTGGGTGGCTCAGTCTGTTATGCGTCTGACTCTTGGTCTCGGTTCAGGTCATGATCTTGTGAGATCTTGTGAGTCTGAGCCCTGCATCGGGCTCTGTGCTGTCAGTGCAGAGCCTGCTTGGGATTCTCTCTCTCTCTCCTCTCTCTCCCTGCCTCTCCCCTGCTTATACCGTCTCTCTGTCAAAATATATAAATAAACTTAAAAAAATTTAGATAGTTCTCTCTCAATATCCTATTTCTCTCTTTTGAGTTCTCTTTAGTCTCTCCAGGTGGGGTGTCACCCTTCACATATATTCTGATGACCCTTGAATCTGTATTTCCAGACCTACTTTTCTGAACTCCAGACTCCAGGTTACAGCTCCCTCCTGAGCTCCTTAAAGTCAGCACATCCCAAAGAGAGCTCATTCCCCATTGCGCTATTCAGCCCCAGCAAGGTCCCCCAAACAGCTGGGCCCACCCTGTGGTGCTGGCTGGTGCTGGGTTCCCAGGAGCTCCGGTGCCCCTCCCTCTCTGATGCCACACCCCTCACCCCCTGCTGCCCTTGGCCCAGTCTCCACATTTTCCTGACTGTCACTCTTGCTCTTCCTTCCGTTCCACTTCTGCCCTTCCCTGGTACTTGATGCCTAGCTGTCTTGCAGGGAGATGGCCCGACCTCCCCCAGGGCTGATCTGGTTCACCATTCTGTCTGGACACCCTCCCTGCCATTACTATTCCTCTGCCTGAACTCCCACCCATTCACCTTATACCAAGACCAGAGATCTGGGTGTCATTCTGGACTCCTCCTCATTCCTCTCCCTTGGGACCCACAGCTGAATGTCACTAAGACTGAAAGTACTGCTTGGCTCCCAAGTGTTCCCTCCATGCCTTCACCACCAGTTTTCTTTTTGGGGCCATGATCATCTCTCCTTGTTGCTGTTGCTTCAGCCTCATGTTTACTTGCTTTGTCCCATTCTGCCCCCCCCCTTTTTTTTAAATTAAAAAATTTTTTTAAATGTTCATTTATTTTTGAGAGAGAGAGAGAGAGCGTGCAAGTTGGGGGGAGGGGTGCAGAGAGAGAGAGGGAGACACAGAATCTCAAGCAGGGCCAGGCTTGGAGCTGTCAGCACAGAGCTCGAAGTGGGGCTTGAACCCACGGACCTTGAGATCATGACCTGAGCCAAAGTCGGTTGCTCAACCGACTGAGCCACCCAGGCGCCCCTCTCTGTCCCCATCCTTGCCTCTTCCTGGCCATCCTCCACCCTGCTGTTAGATCCTACAATGCTGATGCTCTGAGCTGCTTAAAACTTGCACATCCCCTTGGTGTGGGATCAAGGACCAATTCCTATGAATGGCACACATGAGCCCTCTGTGATCTGTTCTTGCCATATTCATCTCCTGCCTCAACCCCCTGCACTTCTGAGCTACAGCAAACCACTCGGGATTGCTTCTCATATTTGTATTCATTTGCACACACTGCCTTCTGCTTGGAAGGCTCTCTCTACCTTGTCTTCCTGGGAAATTCCTACTCATCATTTAAGATTCAGCTCCATTATAGTCCTCTCTGTCATAATGAGAGCAGCTAACATTTGCATGTGCTTCCTGTGTGCCAGTCATTGCTCTAAATGGTCTACATGCACTCATGGGGTCCTCACAACAACCCTCTTGTGGTACCTGTAGGGTAGGCACCATTATGATCATCTTCATTTTACAGTTGGGAAACAGAGGCAGAGAGAGGTTAAATGTCCTGTGCAAGTCACACAGCTAGCAAATGGGAGGCTGGGACCTGAAGGCAGGCAGTCTCATTTTAGACTTTGGGCTCTTAACCCCTGGAGCAGCCCTGGCTATGTTAGGCAGAGGCGGCCACTCCCTCCTTGTGCTAGCCGGCCCTCGCCTGACCCAAATACATCCCTGTTGTGGCATTTAGTATACTCTCTTCCAGTACACAGTGAGCCCCTTGGGGGTAGCATGCTTAGATCCTGGTGCGGGGACCCTGACTTGCCCATTTAGATACCCTCATTGCCTAGTGGTACATACTCATCAATTCTTTTGAAGAATAACTGAGGGAATATACTGAATATTAGTTGAATGCATGATCAGTGAA